CCCGAAGCGCTGCAATGGGCGGGGGGGAACGCATGCGGGCGGTAGCACTGGGGCCGCCAGTGGAGCTCCCTATGGGGCCACGGAACGCTGTACTAGGGGGGGGACGCATGCGGTCAGTAGCACCCGGCCGGGCCTTCGGTGGAGCTCCCTATGGGGCCACGAAACGCTGTAATGGGTGGGGGGACGCATGCGGGCGGGTGCACTGGGGCCGTCGATGGAGCTCCCTACGGGGCCACGACACGCTGTACTGGGTGGGGGGAGCGCATGCGGGCGGTAACACTCGGGCCGTCGGTGGAGCTCCCTATGGGGCCACAAGGCGCTGTACTAGGTGGGGGGGACGCATGTGGGCAATAGCGCTGAGACCTTCGGTGGGGCTCCCTATGGGGCCACGAAACGCTGGGTGGGGGGGACGCATGCGAGACGTAACACTGGGGCCGTCGATGGAGCTCCCTATGGGGCCACGAAACGCTGAACTGGGTGGGAGGACGCATGCGGGCGGTAGCACTGGGGCCGTCGGTGGAGCTCCCTATGGGGCCACGCAACGCTGTACTGCGTGGGGGGACGCATGCGGGCGGTAGACCTGGAACCTTCGGTGGAGCTCCCTATGGGGCCACGAAACGCTGTACTGGGTGGGGGGGACGCATGTGGAAGGTAGCACTGGGGCCTTCGGTGGAAATCCAAATGGAGCCACGAAACGCTGGGTGGGGGGACGCATGTGGGCGGTACCGCTGGGACCTTCGGAGGAGCTCCCTATGGGGTCACGAAACGCTGAGTGGAGGGGACGTATGCGGGCGGTAGCACTGGGGCCGTCGATGGAGCCCCGTGTGGGGCCACCAAGCGCTGTACCCGGAGGGGAAACGCATGCGGACGGTGGCACTGGGGCCTTCGGTGGAGCTCCCGATGGGGACACGGAACGCTGTACTGGGCAGGTGAAAATGCCAAATTGGATGTTTCGGGACGCATGCGGACGGTGGCAGTGGAGCCTTCGGTGGAGCTCCCTATGGGGCCAGGAAACGATGTACTGGGTGGGTGAACATGCCACATTGGATGTTTCGGGACGCATGCGGACGGTGGCACTGGGGCCTTCGGTGGAGCTGCGGACGGTGGCAGTGGAGCCTTCGGTGGAGCTCCCTATGGGGCCAGGAAACGATGTACTGGGTGGGTGAACATGCCACATTGGATGTTTCGGGACGCATGCGGACGGTGGCACTGGGGCCTTCGGTGGAGCTCCCTATGGGGCCACGAAACGCGCTACTGGGTGGGTGAAATTGCCAAATTGGTTTCGGGACGCATGCGGACGGTGGCATTGGGGCCTTCGCTGGAGTTCCCTATGGGGCCACGAAACGCTGTACTGGGTGGGTGGAAATGCCAAATTGTAGGTTTCAGGACGCATGCGGACGGTGGCATTGGGGCCTTCGCTGGAGCTCCCGGTGGGGCCACGAAACGCAGTACAGGGTGGGTGAAAATGCCAAATTTGATGTTTCGGTGTATCCCCAACTGGGGTGGTAATTTGGGGGGGGTCTCGAAGGGGATGGGGATGGGGATGGGGATCGGTTAAACGATACCGAACATTGGAAGCGAAGGCGCTTACGCGCGAGTTTACGCGGGCAGCTTACGCGCGAATGTCGGCGCAAACGACCCCGTTGTTTTTGGCGTCGCTCACCTGGCAGTTCTAACCTGCTTGGCCGTTTCGACCCACCCGGATATTTTCACCTTCTTGGCGACTCTTGGGGCCCTCTCAGGCAGTCCCTCTTGAGCCGTCTTGGAGTCCGTTTGGGACCCTCGTGAGCCGCCTTGGAGCGATCCCAAGACGACGTCGGCAGCCCCTCATGTGTGCGAGGATGTCCCAAGCGAATTAGCAAGTTAAGGCAAGAGCGATACCAGGACGATGTCGACAACACCTAGTCGGTTGAGAATGTCCCCAACGAAATCGCAATTGCTCGAAAGGTCCATACGAAGAGGACGTCGCCAACATTTCATTATTGTGAGGATGTCCCAAACGAAATTGTCATGTTGAGCAAGAGTGTTGCCGCCAAAATCGCACAGTTGTGAGGAAGTCCCTAGGGAAAACGCCATGTTGGGCAAGATCGAGACCAAGACGACGTCGACGACATCTCATTTGTACGAGGATGTCCTTAGCGAAATTGCTATGTTGGGCAAGAGCCATCTCGACAACATCGCATATGTGTGAGGATGTCCCTAGCGAGGGGCGGACATAGAGCGTCTTAGAGACATATCATTGGCCTATGATGGGCCGTCTCGAGGCATTCCAAGTGCGATCCCAAGACAACTTAGCTGTTTGAAGATGCCACCAGCGAAATCCGGTAGAGGGAAACAATTAGTGAACACCCCCCCTGCCCCCCAAACTTAAAGTTGGCACGCGGGGGAGAGACTGCGGTCGAGGTGCAACTCATCAGACCCATCGCCAACTTTGAACATTGGGGGGAGGGGGAGGCGTTCACAGATGAATGTGGCATGAGTGTTCGCTATGTGTGTCCGAGGCCTGTCTCTGTGTTGGCCATGAGATTCCTGGGGATACACCCCAAGAACTCCCTCTAGCTTCATGTTCCGACTAACGGATCGCACGCTGCACGCGCTCTGCGTCGTCCGTCGCCCCCTTCCGTCGTGCCGCAGGGGCGCACGGCGCGCCGCGTGAGTTGTTGCTGTTCTGAAGTCTCGAGGAGGCCGTCGCCCCAACCCGCTGGCCAACCAGAAGAAGGCGGAAGGACACGCAAGTACTTTTTTGGTCGCGGGCGGACGCGGATTCACAGTCGCCGAGCTGAGAGGTCTGGGCCACGGGCCTGTCAAATTAGCAACGCGCAAGCCTAAGAGCACAGCGGCCGAGCCCGCACACCGTCGGTTGGGCCGCAGGCTGAAGGGGAGCTGGCTGAGATAGGACACGCAAGCACGCGCAAGGAGGGGAAAAACCTGAAAACTCGATTCCACGAGGCCCCCTAAAACTCCCGAGTCGTCGGCCCTCCCGCTTCGGACGGCGCACAGACTGTCTCCAAGACGGCTACGATGGCCCCGAGAGAGCCCAAGATGGACCCAAGATGTCTCCCAAACGGGCCGAGATGCCCCCAAGATGGCCCAAGATGGCCTCAAGATCGCCCAAGAACCCTCCAAGACACCTCCAAGAGGACCTCCAGGAACCCCCGAGGAGGCAAAGGACATTGATTTTCCTCAGAGCCTCCTGGACGGCTCCAAGAGGCCCCCAAAACGGCCCCAACAGGGCCCCCAAGACGGCCCCAAGACGGCCCTGGAGACCTCCAAGATGCCCAAGATGGCCTCCAAGACGGCCCAGAAGCGCCGCAAGAGGGCCCCGAGTCGGCCCAGAGAGGCCCCCGAGACGGCGTCCGACGGCGTCACACAGGCCAGGAACGCCCTCAGATGGTCACAGAGCCGCCTCTGGAGCCTCCAGAGGCCGCCAAGAGACCCAAGGAAGACCCCAAGAGGCCTTCAAGACGCCCACAGGAAGCTCGCAGGAGGCCCAAGGGTGCATCAAAAGGCTCCCTCCTCCTCCTCCTCCTCCTCCTCCTCATCCTCCTCCTCCTCCTCCTCCCCCTCCCCCTCCTCCTCTCCTCCTCCTCCTCCTCCTCTCCTCCTCTCCTCCTCCTCCCTCTCCCCTCCTCCTCCTCCTCCTCCTCCTCTCTCCTCCTCCTCCTCCTCCTCCCTCCTCCTCCCCTCCCTCCTCCTCTCCTCCTCTCCTCCTCCTCCTCCTCCTCCTCCTCCTCCTCCTCCCTCCACTCTCCTCCTCTCCTCCTCCTCCTCCTCCTCCTCCCCTCCTCCTCCTCCTCCTCTCTCCTCTCCTCCTCTCCCTCCTCCTCCTCCTCCTCCTCCTCCTCCTCCTCCTCCTCCTCGCCTCCTCCTCCCTCCTCCTCCTCCTCCTCCTCCTCTCTCCTCCTCCCTCCCCTCCTCCTCCTCCTCCTCCTCCTCTCCTCCTCCTCCCCCCCCTCCTCCTCCCCTCCCCCTCCTCTCCTCTACCCTCCTCCCTCCTCTCCTCTCCTCCTCTCCTCCTCCTCCTCCTCCTCCTCCTCTCCTCCTCCTCCTCTCTCTCCTCCGCTTCCTCCTCCTCCCCTCCTCCCTCCTCCCCTCCTCCTCCTCCTCCTCCTCCTCCTCCTCCTCCTCCTCCTCCTCCTCCTCTTCTTCCCCCCTCACGTTTTGCCCGAAGGGTTTCCACAACGGCTGGGGGAAGACGCAGTCCGATAGCTGAGCCGAGCTCTGGCCGCGCGAGGTTCGGCCACACAGGCGCTTCCGAAAGGCAGGGGGCGGCGGTGATTCGCCGTAGGCGTCTTCGATGATGGTAACAAGGACCTCCGAGATCGCCCCGTTCGGAGGCGGTCCAGCGGCGGTTTCGCATGAGACTTCCGCACAATTGATTAAGGAACCGTGGTCTCGCCCCAATGCCCGCGACATATCTAGCCTTGACGGCCACGATCCCTTGTAGAGAACACACTAGGGTGCACATGGCCGTGCTCTCGCCCTGTCCCGGCTGCATCCTTTCTTTCTCAGGGCTTCCCCGCCGTGCTTCTTCTACTCCTGGACCCGCCTCTTCGCATTTGCTGCTCATCAGCATGCTGTGCTGGGGTTGCTGCTTCTGGGCGGCCCCCAGGGACCAAAAAACTGCCTCAGGTCGCCGACAAAAACACCAGAACATCTTCCGCGCGATACAGTGTTGCGGCTTGGAGGTGGCCGGGGGGTCTGAACTGGCTGGGACTCCAGAAGATCGGTGAGGAGGGGGGGATGAGGCCAAGTCCGTCCAAAATCGGTCCCCAGACCCTCCCCGGATCCATCTGGTGCAGTTTTTCCCCCTGCATCCGTTTTTGATGGCCCCGGGGCCCGACAACGGCCCCGGGAGGCCGGAAAAGGCAAGAAGATGTCTCGAAGCCAGGACCTCGAACACCTCGCCCCCCCTCCTGCTGGACAGGACCAGTGCTGGGCCCCGGGCGGCTCCAGCTTGCGGCGGCCGCCGCGGGGGGTCCTCCGCGAGCGCACCTCGGTCACTGCCTCCTCACCGGGGCACCTCGCGGACCGCGCGGCGGGGGGGGGAGGGGCGGGAGGTGACGGGGACGCGGCGAAGTTCGCGGATAACAAAGTGAAGGTTTTTTATTCGGCGTTTCGGAAAGGGGGGGGGAGGCGGGGTCTGGCTCCGGACCTCTGCTTCATGCCACAGTTTGCAAGAGTGCTGCCTCTGGGGGAGACTCCAACCGCTCGACAAGATCTACTCCATTGGGGGGGGAGGGGGGTTGGGGGGCCCGCGCCGATCGGCAAAACAATGGAAAACAAACGATCACAAACAGCCTCGTCTCTGTAAGGGGGGTGTACAGTGGAGGCCAGCCCACAACAAACCTTCCACAAGAAACCCAGCCCTTAGACCCCAGGACGTCCATGGATGTTTGGCGTGGGAGCGTCGCGCTTCCCAACGCAATACCCTCGAAACCCGATAAACACAGGGCACCCTGGAGGCCAGCATGGTGTTTCTTGGCATGGGTTTCCACTGTAGTGAGCGAAACTGTGCCCGAAAATCTGCCCGAGTGTTGCCGAAGCTGGCGCCCGAAACTTCTCGAACGCGCCAGTGTGACGGAAGTCCTTGGTTCGAAGCCCGAGCGACTCTCAATGTCGGTCACAACTTCGACCACACTACGTTGTCGGTTGCACTTTCAGGCACGTTTTTCGGTCAACGGTTTTCTTTGGTCACATACCCTTTCGGCTGATAAGGGCGGGGTTCCATGAGCACGACGGGTTCTCGAGGAGAAGGATGCTGCAGGCTTTTCGCCGCTTTCGAACTGCTGGCCCCTCAACGGGGCCCATACGCAGTTGTGCCCGACCATACGCAGGGCACAAAATTAGCCTGGCGAAGGGCCCGACCATACGCAGTTGTGAGCGCCGCAGTTGTGAGAATCGTCTTCAGTGGAGCTCCCTATGGGGCAACGAAACGTCTCAGAGATGTGCCGAAATTGGGGGTGGAACCACATGCGAACCCTGCCACTGGGGCCTTCGGCGTAAATCCCTATGGGGCCACGAGACGTGTGAGAGATATGCCGAAATTGCGGTGGAACCACATGCGAACCCTGCCACTGGGGCATTCGGAAGAAATCCCCATGTGGCCACGAAACGTGTAAGAGGTATGCCAGCATGGGGGTGGAACCGCATGCGAACCCTGCCACTGGGGCCTTAGGCGGAGCTCCCTGTGGGGCCACGAAACGTGTGAGGGGTGTGCCGAAATTGGGGGTGGAACCGCATGCGAACCCTGCCACTGGGGCCTTCGGCGGAGCTCCCTATGGGGCCACGAAACGTGTGAGGGGTGTGCCGAAATTGGGGTGGAACCGCATGCGAACCCTGCCACTGAGGCCTTCGGCGGACCTCCATATGGGGACACGAAACGTGCGAGGGGTGTGCCGACATGGGGGTGGACCGCCTTCGGCGGAGCTCCCTGCGGGGCCACGCATCGAAGGGTGTGCCGAAGGTGAGGGTGGAACCGTATGCTGCGAACCCTGCCACTGGGGCCTTCGGCGGAGCTCCCTATGTGGTCACGAAACGTGTGAGGGGTGTGGGGGTGGAACCGCATGCGAACCCTGCCACTGGGGCCTTCGGTGGAGCTCCGTATGGGCCCGCGAAACGTGTGAGGGGTGTGCCGACATGCGGGTGGAATCGCATGCGAACACTGCCATTGAAGGCACCCCTATGGGCCCACGATACGTGTGAAGGTTGTGCCGAATGTGGGGTGGAACTGCATGCAAACCCTGCAACTGGCGCCTTCGGCAGAGCTCCCTATGGGGCCGCGAAACGTGTGAGGGGTGTGCCTACATGGGGGTGGAACCGCATGCGAACCCTGCCACTGGAGCCTTCGGCGGAGCTCCACGTGGGGCCACGATACGTGTGAGGGGTGTGCCGACATGGGGGTGGATCCGCATGCGAACCCTGCCACTGGGGCATTCGGCGGAGCTTCCTACAGGGCCCACGAAACGTGTGAGGGGTGTGCTGACATGGGGGTGGAACCGCATGCGAACACTGCCACTGGAGCCTTCGGCGGAGCTTCCTATAGGTCCACGAAACGTGTGAGGGGTGTGCCTACATGGGGGTGGAACCGCATGCGAACCCTGCCACTGGAGCCTTCGGCGTAAATCCGTATGGGGCCACGAAACGTGTGAGGGGCGTGCCGAAATGGGAGTGGAACCGCATGCGAACCCTGCCACTGGGGACTTCGGCGGAGCTCCCTAATTATGGGGCACCAAACGTCTCAGAGATGTGCCGACATTGGGGGTGGAACCGCATGCGAACCCTGCTACTGGGGCCTTCGGCGTAAATCCGTATGGGGCCACGAGACGTGTGAGAGATGTGCCGAAATTGCGCTGGAACCGCATGCGAACCCTGCCACTCGGGCCTTCGGTGGAACTTCCTATAGGCCCACGAAACGTGTGAGGGGTGTGCCGAGCCGACATGGGGGTGGAACCGCATGCGAACCCTGCCACTGGGGCCTTCGGCGGAGCTCCCTATAGGCCCACAAAACGTATGAGGGGTGTGCCGACATGGGGTTGAACCGCATGCGAACCCTGCCACTGGAGCCTTCGGCGGAGCTCCCTGTGGGGCCGCGAAACGTGTGAGGGGTGTGCCGAATTGCGGGTGGAACCGCATGCCAACCCTGCCACTGGAGCCTTCGGCGGAGCTCCCTGTGGGGCCACGAAACGTGTGAGGGGTGTGCCGAATTGCGGATGGAGCCGCATGCGAACCCTGCCACTGGGGCCTGGAGCTCCCTACAGGCCCTCGAAACGTGTGAGGGGTGTGCCGAAATGGGGGTGGAACCGCATGCGAACCCTGCCACTGGGGACTTCTCCCTGTGGGGCCGCGAAACGTGTGAGGGGTGTTCTGGCATGAGGGTGGAACCGCATGCGAACCCTGCCACTGGTGCCTTCGGCGGAGCTCCCTATAGGTCCACGAAACGTGTGAGGGGTGTGCCTACATGGGGGGGAACCGCATGCGAACCCTGCCACTGGAGCCTTCGGCGGAGCTCCCTATGGGGCCACGAAACGTGTGAGGGGTGTGCCGAAATTGCGCTGGAACCGCATGCGAACCCTGCCACTGGAGCCTTCGGAAGAGCTTCCGATAGGCCCACGAAACGTGTGAGTGGTGTGCCGAAATTGTGGGTGGAATCGCATGCGAACCCTGCCACCACTAGGGCCTTCGGCGGAGCTTCCTACAGGCCCACGAAACGTGTGAGTGGTGTGCCGAAATGGGGGTGGAACCGCATGCGAACCCTGCCGCTGGGGCCTTCGGTGGAGCTCCCTATAGGGCCCACAAAACGTATGAGGGGTGTGCCGGAATGTGGGTTGAACCGCATGCGAACCCTGCCACTGGAGCCTTCGGCGGAGCTCCATATGGGCCCACGAAACGTGTGAGGGGTGTGCCTACATGGGGGTGGAACCGCATGCGAACCCTGCCACTGGGACCTTCGGCGGGGCCCACGAAACGCGTGAGGGGTGTGCCGACATGGGGGTGGAACCGCAGGAGAACCCTGCAATTGAGGCCTTCGGCGGAGCTCCTGATAGGGCAGCGAAACGTGTGAGGGGTGTGCCAAAATTGGAGGTGGAACCGCATGCGAACATTGCCACTGAGGCCTTCGGCGGAGCTCCCGATTGAGGGCGCGGGCAGGGAGGACAGAGGAGCAAGCGAGGGAGGAGGCGATAGAGAGAACGAGGAGGAGGTGAGAGAGAGAGAGAGAGAGAAACAAAAAAAAAAAAAAAAAAAATCCTGGCGAAAGACCCAACCATAAGCAATTGTTGGTAACGCGTTGTGGGTGCCGCGTTCGGTGGGGGGAACCGCATGCGAGAGCAGCCACTGGGGCCTTCGGTGGAGCTCCCTATGGGGCCACGAAACGCTGCCCTGGGTGGGGGAACCGCATGCGAACACCCCCACTGGGGCCTTCGGTGGAGCTCCCTATGGGGCTACGAAACGCTGCCCTGGGTGGGGGAACCGCATGCGAACACCCCCACTGGGGCCTTCGGTGGAGCTCCCTATGGGGCCACGAAACGCTGCCCTGGGTGGGGGAACCGCATGCGAACACCCCCACTGGGGCCTTCGGTGGAGCTCCCTATGGGGCTACGAAACGCTGCCCTGGGTGGGGGAACCGCATGCGAACACCCCCACTGGGGCCTTCGGTGGAGCTCCCTATGGGGCTACGAAACGCTGCCCTGGGTGGGGGAACCGCATGCGAACACCCCCACTGGGGCCTTCGGTGGAGCTCCCTATGGGGCCACGAAACGCTGCCCTGGGTGGGGGAACCGCATGCGAACACCCCCACTGGGGCCTTCGGTGGAGCTCCCTATGGGGCTACGAAACGCTGCCCTGGGTGGGGGAACCGCATGCGAACACCCCCACTGGGGCCTTCGGTGGAGCTCCCTATGGGGCCACGAAACGCTGCCCTGGGTGGGGGAACCGCATGCGAACACCCCCACTGGGGCCTTCGGTGGAGCTCCCTATGGGGCTACGAAACGCTGCCCTGGGTGGGGGAACCGCATGCGAACACCCCCACTGGGGCCTTCGGTGGAGCTCCCTATGGGGCCACGAAACGCTGCCCTGGGTGGGGGAACCGCATGCGAACACCCCCACTGGGGCCTTCGGTGGAGCTCCCTATGGGGCCACGAAACGCTGCCCTGGGTGGGGGAACCGCATGCGAACACCCCCACTGGGGCCTTCGGTGGAGCTCCCTATGGGGCTACGAAACGCTGCCCTGGGTGGGGGAACCGCATGCGAACACCCCCACTGGGGCCTTCGGTGGAGCTCCCTATGGGGCCACGAAACGCTGCCCTGGGTGGGGGAACCGCATGCGAACACCCCCACTGGGGCCTTCGGTGGAGCTCCCTATGGGGCCACGAAACGCTGCCCTGGGTGGGGGAACCGCATGCGAACACCCCCACTGGGGCCTTCGGTGGAGCTCCCTATGGGGCCACGAAACGCTGCCCTGGGTGGGGGAACCGCATGCGAACACCCCCACTGGGGCCTTCGGTGGAGCTCCCTATGGGGCTACGAAACGCTGCCCTGGGTGGGGGAACCGCATGCGAACACCCCCACTGGGGCCTTCGGTGGAGCTCCCTATGGGGCCACGAAACGCTGCCCTGGGTGGGGGAACCGCATGCGAACACCCCCACTGGGGCCTTCGGTGGAGCTCCCTATGGGGCTACGAAACGCTGCCCTGGGTGGGGGAACCGCATGCGAACACCCCCACTGGGGCCTTCGGTGGAGCTCCCTATGGGGCCACGAAACGCTGCCCTGGGTGGGGGAACCGCATGCGAACACCCCCACTGGGGCCTTCGGTGGAGCTCCCTATGGGGCTACGAAACGCTGCCCTGGGTGGGGGAACCGCATGCGAACACCCCCACTGGGGCCTTCGGTGGAGCTCCCTATGGGGCCACGAAACGCTGCCCTGGGTGGGGAACCGCATGCGAACACCCCCACTTGCGGTGGAGATGGGGAAACGCTGAGAGAGAGCAGAGGCAAGGAGGGGGAGGAGGAGGAGGAGGGGGAGGGGAGGGGACGCGGGGCACCGTCTCTTCAAAACGAGGACCCAACACCACAGGATGGTTGGGAAAAAAATTATCCTGGCGAAAGACCCAACCATAAGCAATTGTTGGTAACGCGTTGTGGGTGCCGCTTTCGGTGGGGCTCCATATGGGGCCACGAAGCGCTGCCTTGGATGGGGGAACCGCATGCGGACTGCGCCACCGGGGCGGGCCTTCGGTGGAGCTCCCTATGGGGCTACGAAACGCTGCCCTGGGTGGGGGAACCGCATGCGAACTGCGCCACTGGGGCCTTCGGTGGAGCTCCCTATGGTGCCACGAAACGATGCCCTGGGTGGGGGAAGCGCATGCGAACTGCGCCACGGGGGCTTTCGGTGGAGCTCCCCATGGGGCCACGAAGCGCTGCCCTGGGTGGGGGAACCGCATGCGAGACACCACTGGGGCCTCCGGTGGAGCTCCCTATGGGGCCACGAAACGCTGCCCTGGGTGGGGGAACCGCATGCGAACACCCCCACTGGGGCCTTCGGTGGAGCTCCCTATGGGGCCACGAAACGCTGCCCTGGGTGGGGGAACCGCATGCGAACACCCCCACTGGGGCCTTCGGTGGAGCTCCCTATGGGGCCACGAAACGCTGCCCTGGGTGGGGGAACCGCATGCGAACACCCCCACTGGGGCCTTCGGTGGAGCTCCCTATGGGGCAACGAAACGCTGCCCTGGGTGGGGGAACCGCATGCGAACACCCCCACTGGGGCCTTCGGTGGAGCTCCCTATGGGGCCACGAAACGCTGCCCTGGGTGGGGGAACCGCATGCGAACACCCCCACTGGGGCCTTCGGTGGAGCCACGAAGCGCTAACGCATGCGAACACCCCCACTGGGGCCTTCGGTGGAGCTCCCTATGGGGCCACGAAACGCTGCCCTGGGTGGGGGAACCGCATGCGAACACCCCCACTGGGGCCTTCGGTGGAGCTCCCTATGGGGCTACGAAACGCTGCCTGGGTGAGGGAACCGCATGCGAACACCCCCACTGGGGCCTTCGGTGGAGCTCCCTATGGGGCCACGAAACGCTGCCCTGGGTGGGGGAACCGCATGCGAACACCCCCACTGGGGCCTTCGGTGGAGCTCCCTATGGGGCTACGAAACGCTGCCCTGGGTGGGGGAACCGCATGCGAACACCCCCACTGGGGCCTTCGGTGGAGCTCCCTATGGGGCCACGAAACGCTGCCCTGGGTGGGGGAACCGCATGCGAACACCCCCACTGGGGCCTTCGGTGGAGCTCCCTATGGGGCTACGAAACGCTGCCCTGGGTGGGGGAACCGCATGCGAACACCCCCACTGGGGCCTTCGGTGGAGCTCCCTATGGGGCCACGAAGCGCTGCCCTGGGTGGGGGAACCGCATGCGAACACCCCCACTGGGGCCTTCGGTGGAGCTCCCTATGGGGCCACGAAACGCTGCCCTGGGTGGGGGAACCGAAATGCGAAGGGTGCAACCGCATGCGGCTGGGGCTTCGGTGGAGCTCCCATGGGCTACGAAACGCTGGCCCTGGCCGCATGCGAACACCCCCACTGGGGCCTTCGGTGGAGCTCCCTATGGGGCCACGAAACGCTGCCCTGGGTGGGGGAACCGCATGCGAACACCCCCACTGGGGCCTTCGGTGGAGCTCCCTATGGGGCTACGAAACGCTGCCCTGGGTGGGGGAACCGCATGCGAACACCCCCACTGGGGCCTTCGGTGGAGCTCCCTATGGGGCCACGAAACGCTGCCCTGGGTGGGGGAACCGCATGCACTGGGGCCTTGGGTGGAGCTCCCTATGGGGCCACGAAACGCTGCCCTGGGTGGGGAACCGCATGCGAACACCCCCACTGGGGCCTTCGGTGGAGCTCCCTATGGGGCCACGAAACGCTGCCCTGGGTGGGGGAACCGCATGCGAACACCCCCCCACTGGGGCCTTCGGTGGAGCTCCCTATGGGGCTACGAAACGCGCGAG